TTTTTTTTTTTTTTTTTTTTTTTGCAAATTTCTTTAAAAAAAAAAGAACAGTACCGAATAAAATTGTAAATGACAGAAAAGAAAGAGAGAGAGGAGAGCTGTTGTGTTAACATCAAATTTGTTTAGTTTAATTGTTAGCAGCATTAAGCCAGAAAACTATAAGCATTAATGTTAGTATAATTTTAACAAAAAGAATTCAAATATATATTCTGTGCAGTAAAATTTTAGGCGACAACAAAAAACTGATTTTAAATTACTATTTAATATTTTAATGCTCAAAAGACTTTTGCATGCCAAATTAACTGATAACATTTAGTCAGTAAAATGTATTTGTATAATTTCAAACAAATGAATAAATTTTTGTTAATGCAATACCTTGTTTATTTGTTTATCAATCTTTTCTTTTATTTGTGAATTTATTAATTTGAAAATGAACAAAAACAAAATTTGTTATAAATAATTGTAGTTTTCTGTGCATTAAAACAACAGTTAAACAGTTCAACAGTTCTGAAGAACATAAATTTTGGGCCAACAATAAGCTTTTTCATCTGAGAACAAATTTTAAATAGTAGTCAAGAAAAAAATGACAGCTTTTTTATTTTTTTCTGTTTTTTTAATCTTCTGAATATAAAAAGAACTATGCCTTTCTCCGTTTTAAGATATCTCCAAAGACCTTAGTTCATGGTTGGGTATTGAAAAAACCAAATGGAATTGGCAGTGGTTGGACAATGAAACCATTCAGTACAGCAACTGGGATAAAAGCAAACGAATGGCAAATGGATACTGTGGTAAAATCAATTCTGATGGTCACTGGCAAATTGTCGATTGTAATTTTGCAGTTCCGAATCGAGCATTTATTTGCAAATATAAATGTTAGTCGTTTGCCAATACGTTAATCAGAAAAAGTTTGTAGGCTAAACTGAAAACATTACTAAAGTTTATTCTTCCAATTTATTAATTTCTCAAAAGTAGAAAAACAAACGTTACTGGTTTTTTTTTGGCTCTTTATAGCTGTCATTAACATTCAGTAGCTTAGTTTTTCTTTCACGATACAAATAGCTGACAAATCTGCCAAAAAAAAACAACTTTAATTGTTTTTGCATAATTTTTTTAGCTTTTATTTATCTGATGATTGTTAAACGGAATAAAGCAACTTTTTATTTTGTTTAGAAATTATTCTATGAATATATACGTATACCAAATAAAGATGTTTCTCAGTATTCATCTGGTATTGAATTTAAGACGTCAGTATTACACTCTTTTTTCCAGGTATTCAACCATGTGAATTTGGATGGACAGAATATGGTAGTGCATGTTATCGTTTTGTAAGTTACCATAGAACAAATTTCCCATAACTGTGTTGACTTTTTAAAAAGTAAAAAAAAAAGACTAGCACTTTTATCTTGAATAGTTCTTATTGCTCGATAAATAATACGAAAAAAAAAGGATGCTTCAAAAGCAATAACAGAATTTTTGTACAAATTTTTATCGTTTATTTCTTTGATTTTACAGTTTTGGCAACAGTACAGCAGAACAAAAGCACAAAAAATATGTGAAGAAAACGATTCAGAATTAACTTCAATCACATCACTAGCGGAAGAAAATTTTTTGAAAAGTATGTTTTTGTTCTGTGTCTTAATTCGACTGCAGAAGCAGTGTTAATATCAGTTAGGTGTATAAATATCAAAAAAAAAAAAATTTCTTTTTAAGTGGTACAAATATTACTAAATAAAACTTTATTGCTAATGGTACTTCATCATTTTTCTTTTTTCTTTTTTTTTGAGGTATCGCTACATATCGAAAAAAATTTTCAATGGAATATTGGACAGGATTGATCAAAGTAGAAGGGCATTGGTATTGGCAAGATGGTGCACCATTGGCATATGAAAATTGGATAAAGCAACAATCACCTAACAGAGAGTATATTTACATGAAAGCTAATTACAGGCAAAAAAGTTGGATAGCTGTAAAAAATGAGGCTACACCGGGAACCGGTTTTATATGCAAATATACAAGTACTAATTACACTTATTCACTGTTAAAACTGTAATCTTAGAAAGAAGAACAAGTTTATTTTTTTTTACTCTTTTTTTGCATATGATAAATCTGTGTGAAAATGTGTAAAATTTTCTAACAACTTAGGCAATTGAGATATGTTTTTTTACAAAAGCAAACCAAAAAAAAGACAGCACAGGTTTAGTTAGACAATTTTGAAGCAATAAATACATGAAAAAAAAAAAAAGAATAAATTGTATTTCAAACAGTTTGTATGGAGCAGTAGCTGCCAAAATAAAGAAC